GTTTCTATTTCCCTGTCTTTTCTTCCCCACCACCACCGCCAAGTGCTCTGTTTAGCTCGTTTCTCCCTCCACTCTCCCTTACCTCTGACATCTTCCTATGCCTCACCTTTCACGTTCAGGTTTCCTCTGATACGCACCCCCCAGATCAAAAAATGGAACTGCCCACTCTGGGGTTTGCGACGGGACAGAAGTGATTGAATCCTCCTGTCCAGATGGGAAGAAGAGGTGGGTAAAGAGATTAAATCATCTCCCTCGAACTCAAGGAAATGTGCAGCTGACCCTCCACTTCAGGGGTCAGCCAGCCCAAGTACCTGGGGCATTCACAGACACACAGGTGGGCGGCTGGCTGCCCGCAGGTAATTGAAGCGAAATGAGGAAAGTGGGCCGACCTTCCTGCGGGGCCCAGTGTGGGCCAGGCCCCTTCCCCACCCACCAGACCTCACACATCTGGCCGCCACATCTCAAAGAGCCCTTACCTAAAGCAGTCCTCAGGCCTAGGGAGGTGAGGGGTGTCAGTGGACACTCAGTTCTCAGAAAATGTAGCGGTCTGGCTATCCCCATGGGGACAAGAAACAAAGAATAGAGCTAAATTCTATCTATTTGGCTCATCTGTTCGTAGTTCTCCAAGGGCTTAATATATCAGGAACCAATTCTGAAGCCTGGGCCAGGAAGACAGAAGGATCCAGGTGTAGACGAAGCAGTTTGGGCCTGTCTGAAGAGGTTGGGGCTGAGGGTCAGAAGCAGACTTCCCGTTCTGGCACTGAGTCTAGCCACCTGTGGCATCTCGGACAAAGGCTTCACTCACCTCTCTGTTCGTCCCATAAATATCTATTGGACCCTTTCTGTCTCAGCTTGGGTTCCCCCAGAAGCAGATCCGGACACCAGGATTCTAGTGCAAATAGTTTATTTTCAAGGGGACACAAGTGAGCACCAGTAAGAGTGGGTAAGAGAGGAAAAGGAAGACACCCCATCAAGGTTCATGAACAAACAAGTCCCACTCTGGGTGCCTGGAGCCAGTGTGAAATAGACTGCTCAGTCATTCGCTCCAAAAGGCGAGGAGCTGAAGTATTTATTCATGCACCGGTTCCCATAGGCCATTGGTTCAGAGCTGTTGCCAGGGGCTGTTAATACCACAGCATGTCTGCCCTGCTCCACAGGTGGTGGAGAGGGCTCTGGAGGCCAAGAGAAGCAGGTTGGAAGTGGAGCCAGTAAGCACTGACGTGGCAAGTGTCAGGGGTTGGGCCCGGCACCGACAATGCCTCCTACCCCAACTATGTGCAAAGCATCTTCCAGGCAGGATGCAGTCCCTGCTTTTGAGAAGCTTCTCTGGGTTTCTTTCAGTCAAATGGGGAGACGGACCCCTGCTCTTCCCAGGGAAGGACTGCTGTGAGATCCCTCAGCTGGACAGTGCCCTGGGGAATACACACTAAAAGCTCGTTACCAACTAAGGTAATAGTGTCAGGGCAGGTGCGCAGCTTCCAGCACTGTGCTCTTTACTTGACCTGAGACAAGTCAGTCAGAACAAGTCTGGTAAGACCGTCTATATCACCTTGGTCCGAAATGGAGTTGCTAGGACTGTCGGTTGAGCCCCAACTTTTCCTAAGCATCTCAAATGCCAGTTCCAAACTAGCTTGATAGAGAGGCAGTGGGTTCTGAGGTAAGAGAGCGCTGGAGAGGAAATCTCATGACAAGAAAAACAGTTGCCTTCTTTCGGTCCTCCGGCCCCTGACATTTAGGAGGGCCCAGGACAACTCCCAAGCCCAAACTCCAAGAGTGCGCCTGTCCTGGGCCTCTCGGTGTTCTTGAGGATCAGAAAGCTGGCTATTTCTACACTGTTTGTAATTTCTGTAATTTCCTTTTTTTAACCTTAGCATTTAGACAAGTTCCTTTTGAAAATGTCAACCTGTTTTAGCTATAGTAAGGGAAAGGAGGATTTGTCTGTGCCCTGGGCCCACCATAAGGGGGAGCGGCACACCTGGGGGCCAGGGATGGGGCCAGGTGAGGCAGCATGGCTCGAGCAAGCTCTCAGCGGTCCCTCCCCTCCTGCAGGCTCCCATTCCAAGCTCCTCTCTGCTCAGACTTAACAAGTTTGGGGGCTGTGCCTCAAATGTCAGTCTCATCCTCTGCCCTCAGGTCACTTCCCTCAGTCTAGTCTCCCTGAGAAGTGCTCAGAATAATAAGATTTCTCCCTCTGCCCTCTGGAAACATCCCTGAATTTCATCCATCCCCGGAGATGTCCAGCTTTCTAAGGTGATCTCAGGCTAAATGTGATCCTGCAGTGCAGGAAGATGCTTTAGGAGACCTCCTGTTTCGTGGGGGAGGGGAGGGAGGGCAACCATTTCCACCACAGTCGCAGCTGTGAATTTTAATAATGTTTTTTTTAAGCCTCCTAGAGAAGTGATGGGATTGTCATGATATCATAAAAAAAGCACACACAAAAGGATGCGAGCTAAAAAAACAACAATAACAAAAGTACAGGACAACACTGCAGGTCAACAGGCATGAGACCCTGAACTAGCGGGCCTCCAAGGTCAAAGGTCTAAGGCCCCTTCCTCCTAGAACACTCTGGGATTCTCCCACTTGCTCCTGTAGCTCTGGATGAATAGTTTGACCTCTTTGGGGGCTCAACTTTCTCACCCTTTGAATTTGGTTCCCTAAGGCTCCTCATATGGTAGATATTTTAGGCCCTCCCAGGACAGACCAATGAGGGAAGGGAACTTAGCTGATGTTCAACCCCACTAAATCAAACACCAGCCATGCTGACCACACACTCTGTCCTTCCTCAGTCTTTCCTCCCTGCTCCTCCTTCCAGCAGGGACCAGCGCCTGTCCATATGACAAGCTCCAGAGAGACCTGAAACCTCCGAAGGTCGCTGAAGCTCTCTGCTCAGGGCCCCGGCAGCTGCCTCAGCCAAGCTCAGGGGCAGCAGGCACCCTGAAGGCAGCAGGGAGGGCCGCTGGCTTTACACAATGAGTCCCAGGGTTTGCATGTGTCTTTGCCAAGCTGGCCCCAGCTGATGAGAAAAGACTCCCCAGAGGGAAAGGGAGGGGAGGAGAACCTTCCCACCCTGATCAAGGCTGCAGATCAAACTTTCCACGCTGCTCTACACAAACTCCCTGACCTTATGGGCCCAGCCCCCACCCCTGCCCCTCCCCAACCACACAGAGAAGAGAGGCCTGTTTATTACTCTGGGTGGGACCCAGGCCTGTGGGGAATTGAAAAGAAACAGCTAGCTTAGGTTGCTATTGTTTTGTTTAAACAAACCGCTGGCTGGACTGACTTGGAAAGGAATGAGGGGGAGGCTGGGAGCTCAGAGCTGCGCTGGGCTGGGCTGGGCCGGGCCAGGCTTCCCTGGGATCAGCCGCCTTCTCTCAATCTTGCTAGGGAGGCCAGAGAGCTATTCTGGGAGAAGTGGCTGCTAGACCTCAGGCCTCTAGAGATGGGTATCAAGGAGTCTCCATTCCCCAACCACTTTCTTCCATCCTGGTGCCCCCAGCATCTCCCCTGGCCACACCCGGGGCTAATGCCAGCCCTGGATAAGGCAAGACCCAGTGTGGGGGTGTCCGGGACGGAGCTGAGAGAGGCCAGGACAGAGCCAGAGTAAGCTCTGCTGTGTCCGAGGGGCCCGGCTGGAAGGCTGCCTGGCTGCTCCTAAGCAGACAGGTCTGGGGTGAGGGAGGTGGAAGAATGTCCACAGATCTCCCTGCGTGGGGTGAAGAAAGCAAAGTGGGAAGGGGCCAAAGATGGAGGGGGTCCATCCTTCTATGTCTCCTGCCCTTTCTCTCAACCAAAGGTAACGCAGACCAAAGGAGGCCCAAAATGAGAACAGTCGGTGGGCAAGCTGCAGCCTAAAGGAGAGGAGATGGGGTTTTCTAGAAAGGGGTGGGGGGGGCTTTAGTTTTATAAAAAGTAAACCGCACTAGAGGTTGGGTCACCAAGCTGACCCTGTGATTCTCCACAGAGAACCGAGGTGAAATCTGATGCTCCTCTCAACACTCCCTATCACTCCTCCCCATCACCCCCACCACCCTAAGCACCCCCATGTTCCAACACCACCCTAGCACCCCCATCTCCCACCACTTCCACCACCCGGAGAACCTCTGTGGAGGGCGGAGCAGGGGCTGTACCAGGAAGGGCCTGATGGAAAGGTGTCCAGGGCACAGTTAGGTGTTGGCAGAATCAATGAAGAGCCACACTAATCACCATCATTAAGGCTATAAAACCCCACACCTAGGGGCCGCAGGGCTCCCTGGCATGGCCCAGGGCCCTGGGCTGTGGCATGGGCCCAGGAGCCCAGCTCCAGTCCCTTTCATCTGAGCATCTCCCAGTCCTGCACAGACATTAATTAGCACCCGCCCCCGGGATCCCCTCATTATCCCACAGACATAGGGGAAAAGGGAGGGGAAGGAAAGAAAGGAGGGAAACTGAGGCTGTCCCAGCAGCCAAAGAACCTCCTGGAGAGTATGGGCCTTGAGCTCAGTGGAGGCTAGGGAAAAAACTGCCTCAAAATCAGGCCTTCCCCTCCCCTTCCTGCCCTTCTGGTTGTTCAGGCAATCATTGGCCTAATGTTTGAAGGCCCAAAGACTGCCCAAAGGATGGTCTGGCTTAGCAAGCCGCTGAGGACTGTCAGCCCTGTCTCCGATCTGCCAGACCCCACAGCCTGAGAGTGCCCAGTGCCTCCTGTGCCCTGTGCCTAGTCTGGGGGTGCAGATGGCAAGAGTAGGGCAGCCCATCAGGAAGTGTCCTCTCAGACCTCTCCAGAGGTCAGGGGTCCACCCCTCACTGCCAGGCCATCCTCAGGAATGTCTGCCTGTCCTCTCTTCCCAGATCGCCTGAGGCACTATTCTAAGCCCCACAGCCCATTCGAGCAACAGCTCCCAGAAGCAGCCATGCATCTTTCTCCTTCATCACACTCCCCCAAGACAGAAAGCTCAGCAGAGCCCATGTGGACTGAGGGTGACCCAGGAGTAACCCACACCCATGCCTGCCTCTTGTTTCAGGGCATCGACATGAAGAAAGGGAAGGTACGGGGCCAGGAGTTATCGGGTGAGTAAGACCCTACGACGCCCCTTTCCCCAGCTAGGGCCACCGTGATGATCACCGGATAACAATACAACTTTACGTTGATACTTCATAGTTACAAAGAAAGCGCTGATCCAAGAGCTCATGTGTATGCTCTGATTTAATCTTCACAATTTCCTTTTCAAGTCACTTCTCAGAGCCTCAGTTTCCCCACCCTACCAAATGGACAGAGTTACAGAAATGTCACATGGGAAGCACTGGGCCAGGGCCTGGTCCCAACAAGTAGCCCAAACTGTGTGTCCCCTCTCTTCCTCCTCGTGCCTCTCAGCTCTACTTTCAGAGGGGAGTTCTTCAGGAAAGCTTCCTCGTGAGGGGGATTCAGTCTCCATCTCCCCTGAGGATAACTCCCAGCTGCACAGAACCAGTGAGTTACAGCTCCAGCCTTCTCCGCAGGGCATTGTGGCCACCAGCCTATGGCAGCATGGGGTACCCCCACCCTCAAGTGCACTCAGCCACCCTCACACCTACCTACCTTGCCAAAACTGGCCCAGCCCTCCACACACCACGTGTGCACAAACACGGCGACACCTATGCTCAGAAATCTCTCTCAGCTCTGGCCATGTTTGTGAAAAAACTATGATGGATCCACACTTTCATCCATTAAGAGAGACCCTCAGACGGCCTCAGCACACACCACTCTTCCAACACCTGCACTTGCCCCAGTGTAGACCCCAAGTCATACAAACCCATACAGCCCCTGGAACACCTTGTGCTGTTCTCTCTGCGCACACGCGCACACACACACACACACACATCTGATGCAATCCGAAAACTCAGGGAGAGATGAATAGTCAGGAAATCCCCTGGCTGCAGTCGAGCTGGAGGCCCCGTGGCCGGAAGTGCACCATGAGAAACACTCCAATAGCTCCAAGCGGCAAGTGGCTTTTGTCTAGTGATCAGGAGAGGGAGGTGACCATAAAGTACCAATACTCCCTCCCACCAGCATCTTCATTGCAAACACTCCATTCCCCCCCCGCCCCCCCAGGAAGAGTCTTGGCTCCTTGGAGAGGAAGATGAAGAGAACAAGGGGAGGAGGAAGAGGCACGGCACTCTTGGAAGGAGGCCCAGCTGGAGTGGCCCAGTCCAGCCTACAAAACCCTGGGGCCCTGCAGTTTTGGGGGAAGGATGAGAGATGTCCCCATTCCTGCCTTTCTCCCAGAAAAGATCTGCCTCCCGTGCAGAGTGAAAGGGAGGGAGATGGCCTTCTCCTCCGGAAGAGCCCGAGTTGGCTCCCATTGCCCCAAGCACCCAGGTCCTACAGCTTCCATGATCAAACCTTTGAACTGAGTCCCACCCACCCCTGTAACCACTTCCAGATCCTCCAGATCCAGCCAAGATATTGACTTCTTTGGGGATTGAGATCATAAGGAAATGCTGAAAAAATAAATAAAAATCCACTGCCAAATGTACTCAGAGGAAGATGGGTTTCTCTCAAGGCAGGAAATCTATCAGGATAGACTACAGAAGAAGAAGAAGAAAAAAGAACAACACCCACTAGCCCAGAAAGGCCCAGGTGCCCACCAGCACCCAAGACCTTCGAACAGACCACACTTCCTCCTCCCCCTACCACCCCCAAAAATGTGCTTCTTAAATGAATCTACTGAGGATGAGACCCTGCCAAAGACAAATCCTAATAGTGCACAATGAGTAAGCTCCCATCTGAAACCTTGGAGAGTCAGCTGGGACCATGAAAGACACAAATGATTCTCTTTTCCTCCTGCCCAGAGCAGCTAGGAGCTCCTGGGTCCTGTGGCATGTGGAACCCACCCTCTCTCCCTTTTCTGCCCATAGCCTACCAGCCTCCCTCCCCACCAGCACACAGTGGCTTCCATCGCTACCAGTTCTTCATCTATGTTCAGGAAGGAAAGCACATCTCTCTTCTTCCCAAAGAAAACAAAACTCGAGGTAAGGCCTTCCCATCCTTCAAAGCCAGGGTGAATTCTGGGATGGATCTGATGCTCCATGCATTAATGGGGAAGTTGGGACCTTGACCTCTGTCCATGAGTCTTGAAGGCTAAGGTCAAAGGGTGTTGTTGTTTGGGAGTGAACTGGAATGCGTGTCCTAAAGGAAATGTTGGTGTCAGATATGGTCTCCCTGCAGAAATAAGTCCCATAGACCAAGATGGTGGCTTTAGCTGGGCCGGGGAGTCTATTAGGGTCCCAAGAGGAGTAACTAGAGCCAGGGAGAGAAGCTTCTCCCCCCACAGCCATGAATGGCATGTGCAGGCAGCTACCCCACAACATTTCTATAGATAATTGTACCCTATAATTGAATCTGATCTAGGCAAGAGGGCCCTGGAACGCCACCCTGCCAGTCTGTCTTCATTGGTCTCTAATTGCTCTGTCTGCCTGGTGCCATCTCAATGCTGGGGCAAACTTCCTCAGCCATGGCCCCTCCACCAGCTTTCTGAGCAGCCCTCCTGGCACTCTGGAGAGAACGTGCCCCCCGTAGCTTCCTAACATCTAACCCAGCCGGCCTGGCCTCGCTCCTCCAGAGCAGGGGCAGGAGGAGCCGTGGGCACCTGGCCACAGCAATGCCACGGTGGCTCACCTGGCCTGTGTGGGCCACAGCCTCTCTCTGAGCCTTAGATTTTTCTACAGGAAAATGGGAAATAAAACAATTCCTATACACCACCGCCCCCATTTTATGGAAGGGAAGATAATGCGGAACACACAAATGCCAACTTGAAAGTACAAAGAGCACATCCCCCAGGCTGGCAAGAGGGCGAGTGGGTGGGTGGGTGTCGTCAGCCATTTCCTCTCACCCAGTGACCCTGACCAACCTCCACCCACTGGGAAGCCAGCGAAGGCATTGTTACACGCCTGCTGCCCGAGGCCCTGGAGGAGAGGAGCCTGAGCCCAGAGAGGCCCCAGTGAGCCCCAGAGCCCTGCAGATGTGCCGAGTGGAGGCCACCAATCACAGAGGCCCACCGCCCTGAAGCACAGCTGGTACAGCCTTTCCACTGGTGAACCTTCCCCAGGTGCCCTCAGCACCTTGCCAATCTGTTCATCTGTTTTGAGAGCTTTCCCAAAGACATGCTTTGAAGTTTGGATACAAAGAAAGGAGGGAAAGAAATGCATCTTGCCCAGGCCAGGTTCAATTTCTCCACGTCCCTGGATCCCCATTTCACCTAAGACGTCACGAAGCCCCTTCCATCTGATTTCCGGGCCTGGGAACTAGCTCCTGAGCCCACCATGCTCTCCCATACACGGGACTCTCATGAAGAAGCAGTGTCTGAGTCCCACGTTAGACCTCAGGGTCCCAGTGCCATGCCCCCGGGCGGGACAAAGCTCAGACCCCTGAAGGAGCCAGTGCTTTCTGAGGGCAGGAAGGAGGGGGAAGGAGGAGCATCAGGCGATGCCAGGAGGAGCAGTGAAGAGGGCAAAGGAGGAAGGGTGTGTGCCTAAGACACTTCCACCCCTGCTGTGGCTGGGTCCTGAGGTTTGATTCCTACCCACCCTCCAGAAAACATGCAGCCTGTGCCCTTCCTATGAGAGAAAGCAGCCAAAGATGTTGGAAACCTATCAGGCCTGAAACCCAGTATTAGTCCTTTTGGATCTTTGCCAAAACCACGGTCTCTTGTGCACCTTGCCGCCACTGCCTTTTATCTACACTCAGGAACCGACCTTGCATCAGGGCAGAGTCCCTTTGGCTTCCCTGCTGTTTTGTTTGCTACCAGATATAGAGGTGGGAAGATTATCCTCCCAAATAAAGCACAGCCAGGGAACCGGTCCCACCACAGATGCCTCCCACAGGCCCTGCTCTGTGCCAGAGGCCTGGGAGAGGACAAGGCGGTGCTGGGAGTGTTCCCTGGCCTCAAGGAGCTCACAGTCTGCTCTGGAAACGCTTAAACAATGATGCAGAACAGCTTACAATGAAGAAGTTAATTTTGCACTTCTGGTGTTGGGGTTGACTTAGGCATCATCCTGTCCCTTGGTAGCATCCCCTTCCCTGCAGGACACACGCCCTCTTCAGCCAGGAAGGGTGCAAAGGAAACCACAGGGCAAGGAAATCTGTATTCCAGTCTTGAGCTGGTAATTTGACTTTTAAGCAAATCAACTAACTTCTCTGAGCCTCAGTTTTCTCATCTAGAAAATGAGGGGTTGGCTCTAGATGATCTACAAATCTATGTGGCCCTGAGGCTCCAAGGAACAGGCGGTGCCTGGGCTAGGCCCTGGGAAAGGAGAAGATCTGAATCCCCCAGTGAAGGAGAGAGGAAAGGGAGCTCTGGACTGGGAAACCTGCAGATGCAAAGATGTGAAGAGGAAAACAAAGTGAGAAGGAGCACCCTTTGCGAGGGGGCAGGGATGTGATGAAAGGAGAAAACGGAGGAAGGCTGTGGAGGTTCTCGAAAGCCCGGCAGAGGCGTGACTTTGATGGGCACTGTGGAGAGCTAGATAATGCCCATGGGAGAAGAAACACACAGAAGCACTCCTCAGAGCTGACTAAGCGGGACTGGTGGGCAACACTGACCAGAGGAAGAGAACAGGAGGCAGCAAGGGCATGGAGATGTCTGGCATGGATAAGCCCAGTGTGACTGCAAAAGCAGAAGCAGCCTTGCACAACGGCCAAACTCCGAAAGGCCTGGCGCTCTCTGGAGCATCTGCACAGAGCTTCTGGGACGCATGGAGCCCCAGGCTGGACCAGCCCTCAGGAGGCCAGGACATGAAGCCCTGCCAATGGGCACAGGCCCTGGGGCTTACCTTGATCTAGTTTTCTTTGTATGGGAAGGTATCTGTGGAAGGGGCCATGTGTCCTGGGGTATGAGTAGTGTAGCCAGCCACTGTGTCCCCTGGATGAGCAGACAGGAACAGCTTCTAGAGATCGGAGCGGAAAGGTCAGTATGCCAGAGCCAGGTAGAGGGTATCCATGGGAGACAGTTCCTTTGACCTAGTCTTGTTGGGTTGCTCCCTCCCTGGGACTTAGGTATGAATAATAGGTTTAGGATAAGAAGGGAATGTTAAATTACTCTAATTGAACTTGTATGACCCGGGGGGGAGGGGGGGGCATCGCTCAGCTCCAGGGGCAGGATTCCTCTTTGTTCTGTGATTCCAGGATGACATACATGGGGTCAGCAAATGGGAGATGTTGACACCCACACTCTCGTGTGACCTTGGATAAGCCACCTCACATCCCTGAGCTTCAATTTCTACATCAAGATAAGGGGTTGGCCCTGGCCAGTTTGGCTCAGCGGTTAGAGCATCAGTCTGTGGACCAAAGAGTCTCAGGTTCGATTCCAGTCTGGGGCATGTGCCTCAGTTGCAGTTCGATCCTGGCCCTGGTTGGGGTCGTGTGAGAGGCGGTCAATCGATGTGTTTCTCTCACGTCGATGTTTCTCTCTCTCTCTCTCCCCCTCCCAGTCTATCTGAAGATAAATGTAAAAATGTCCTCAGTGAGGATTAAAAAAAAGAGCCCTGGCCAGTTTGGCTCAGTGGTTGGAGCGTCGGCCTGCGGTCCAGAGAGACCCGGGTTCGGTTCCCACTAAGGGCACGTACCTCAGTTGCAGTTTGTCCCCAGCCCTGGTTGCGTCGTGTGGGTGGCAGCCACTTGATATGTCCCTTTCATGTCGATGTTTCTCTCTCTCCCTCCCACTCTATCTGAACAAAAAATGGGAAAATGTCCTCGGGTGAGGATTAAAAAAAAAGAAAGAAAGAAAAGATAAGGGGTTGGACTAGTGAGCCTACCACTGAGTGACCCTGAATAGATTTGCTCCCAGCTTACAAGCTCTCCTCGAGTCTGAGTTCTGCTAGACAGACGCAGGGAGAAGGTGATCAGGCTTGACTCGCCCACCCACCCTCACTTCTTGGTGGAGGCTTCAGTCAGATACTGTGCTGCCAGGGCCATAGCAAGGGGCCTGGAAGGGGGTTCAGAACTATCTTGCTTCCAATTTATGACATGCTACTTTCCCACCCCAGTCCTCCTGCCTGTGCACACCTCCTTGTCAATGCTGTTCTCCCGCCATGCTTGGCTTGACTCACAAACGCCCTCCACATTCATTCCAACAACCTAGGAGCTGTGTGTTCAAGGCCCCATTGTAGGAGCTGTGGGCATAGAAGTGAGCCACCTAGACCAAGTTCCTGCTCCCATGGATGTATGTGTCACCCTAGGTAGCTCACGGTGGGGGGTGGGGCATTCATAGCTCAAGCGTAACCACATTCCAAATAGAGGAGAAGGCAAAGCTCACAAACCCCAAACTGGTGCCCCAACCAGCACTGGCCCAGTTTCACTGACGTGCTCTCAAGGCCACAGCTCACCTCCCCAAATTTGGAGCTGTCCTATCTCGGGCTGTCTTCGCTCAGTTAACCCTACCTGCCTTCTCCTGCTCCTCTGAGATGTTCACATAACCTTTTGTTGTACTTCCTTAGTCACCTGCTTTTATCTCTTGTGTTGCTCAATCATTTTTCACTTGCATGGCCCCACTTCCACCATGAGATTATAAATTCCTCGAGGGAAGAGCTCACCTCTGTCTTATGGTTCGTTTTTACCACCTGTCCCTGTGCTCAGCCCACTGTGGACTTCCAGTCAATGAGAGTGTTTGTGTATGGGACACACCCACGTATGCACATTCACAAGCCTCGAGCACAAACATCTGCCCATTCTCACACCCCCACGTTCCCCAGCACACCTCACCGTCAACTTCCTTTAACACCTGAAGAGACAGCCACCTTTGTGAGCACCGTCCCACAAAGGACAAGTTTGGCATCCATATCCACCCTGTCCCAAGGCTGAATAGGCAGGACCACTTACATGCCAGCCTCTCCACCAGCCTGCCCTGCCCCTTCCTGACCTTCCCTCACTCCTGATGACATGGGGTGGGCACTATAGTGGCCGTCGCAACCCCTGGGTGAATGAGGACACTGAAGCCCAGACCATTGAGTGGCTTGGTTGATCGAGGGTCCTCAGT